CACACAGAGGTTTATATACACACAAAGAGGACTTGTATTCAAAATATATCTAAAATCCCTACAAATCAATAGGAAAATGAACAAAAGCCAGGCTAAAGAAATGGACGAAAGAGCTGAATAGACACTTAAGAGTATGTCAGAATGGGCAGAATCATATGAAAAGATGCTCACATCATTATCAGAAAAATGCAAATTAAAATCACAATGAGATACAGTTACACATGCATCAGAATGGCTAAATTTAAAATGACTGACACTATCAAGTGTTGGCCAGTTTGAAAAGGAACTAGACCCTGCACACATTGCACTGGAGTGTAAATTAAGTCAACCACTTCCACCCCCAGGTATAGTCTCCGGAAAAACAAGACCATATGTCCACAAAAAAGACGTGTACAAGAATTTTCATAAAAGGTTTATTCATATTAGGCAAATACTGGAAACAATTCATCATCATAAGAATGGTGTGATAAAGGCATTCAGTGGACTACTACACAACACCTAGGTGGCGGGGGGACCTACTGATTGACAACACAACATGCATAAATCTCAAAAGTACGATTTTGGACAAAAGGCAGCAGATGCAGGAGATTCCATTCACGTGAAGTTCAAGAAGCAGCAAATCTCATTATGAGTGACAGAAGTCAGAATAACATTTACTTCTTGTGGGGGAGGGGTGGTCTAACTGGGATGGGACACAGGTAAATCCTCCAAGTGGGGATAGAAACACTCAATGTCTTGATCTGAGTGGTGTTTTCAGATGTAAAGATTAAGCTAAGTACACAGCTAAGATTTGTGTACTTAAAAAAAAAGATGTGTACTTTATTATATATATTAAATAAAAAAATATATGTATTTCAATGAAAAATGATACAGACCTTTATTTGATGATAATCAGTAAAAACATTATATTTCTAATGTTATCCTGTTATGGCAAATAAAATAACACGTGTGAATAAATGCATGTGCATTGGGGGATGGATTCAAAAAATTTGGAGTAAAATGTTTACAGAGGTTGCCTCTTCACTTTGGTCTTTTCTGTATTTTCTGAATTACTGTATGAGAATGGATTGCTTTTCTAATAAAAATTATAATAGAGCTAATCACTCTTTTTTGAGATTGGAGGGTGAAATAAAAGAGATATGAATATGGTGATATTTCAGGTATTATGATAAGGCTTTTTTTTCTCCAAGGGCTTAAAGTCTTTTTTTGTTTTAATTGAAGTATAGTCAGTTTACAATGTTGTGTTAGTTTCTGGTGTACAGCACAGTGATTCACTTACACATAATATATATATATATATTCATTTCATATTATTTATCATTATAGGCTATTACAAGGTATTGAATATAGTTCCCTATACTATACAGTAGGACCTTGTTGTTTACCTATTTTATGTACAGTAGTGTGTATCTGAATGTCCCGGACTCCAATTCATTCCTTCCCACCCGCTTTACCCTCCTGATAATCATAAGTTTGTTCTCTATGTCTGTGAGTCTGTTTCTGTTTTGTAAATAAGTTCATTTGTGTCCTTTTTTTTAGATTCCACATATAAGTGATATCATATGATATTTGTCTTTCTCTGTCTGACTTACTTCACCTAGTACGACAATCTCCAGGTCCATCCACATTGCTGCAAATAGCATTATTTTATTATTTTTGGTCGCTGAGTAGTATTCCATTGTGTATATACACCACAACTTCTTTATCCAATCATCTGTCAACAGACATTTAGGTTGCTTCCATGTCTCGGTGATTGTAAATAGTGCTGCTTTGAATACGGGGGTGCATGTACCTTTTCACATTAGAGTTTCCTCTGGATATATGCAAGGGCTTAAAGTCTTTGAGTTGATTGTCTCCCATTGGAATATCAAGGTTCTGTGTCTTGAGTCATGAGCTTTGATATGCAATAGTTCTCCCTTTACTGGTTTCCCTTGACTCACCTGGACAAATCTGCTTGTCACTACACTCTCCACCTACTAGGCCTGGAACCCTTGTTCCAACTCAGGAATTACACCTGGCTTGGAAACAGAAAAACCTGCACATAAAAGAAACGGTGCTTAGGCCTGCTGTGGCTGTCAGTGAATTCAGATACAGTCCTATGGTGAAGGGGCAGGGAAGTCCAGTACAAGAAGGGCCAAAGGAAAGCCATTCAAGGAACCAGGATGGTGATGCTTCAAGGAAGACAGAGTAGAACATCACTGAATCTCAGACCCCTCATAAACTCAAACACTTCAGCTTCCCTAGAGGGTCACATTAAGGGACTAAAAAAGCTCCAGAGATCAGATTTTAAATTTAAAGATTTGATCATAAAATAAGAAGAGAAGGTATAGCTCAGTGGTAGAGCACATGCTTAGCATGCACAAGGTCCTGGGTTCAATCCCTAGTACCTTCATTTAAAAAAAAATTTTTAAATAAAGATTTGATCATAAATGCTCTGCTTCTGTGATGTTTCAGCGTCTCATCCCTATACAAGTTCTGAGAGGGTATGGTCATCAGTACTGCACCCAGCAGAGGCTGTTGCCACATTCCCAAATGTCACTACCCTGAAATTACAAGGACCTAAGTTCCCATATGGCCCTGAGAAACTGGAAGAAGTGAAGTTGATTAAGATATGGAAGTGGAACAGCATGGAGAGCAGGTGTGTTTAGCATTCTGAATTCAGCAGCAGCTGATTGGTTAAATGTGTAACAGAACATCTATGTAATGAAATATTAAGCAGTCATTATATGCTAAGTCTGAGAATCTGTTAAGGGAATGAAAATATTCAAAAATATCACGTCAGTTGAAAA